GCACGCCTGGCTCATCCCTTGGACGAGCCTCTCGGCTATCATCTGCCGTGAAACGCGCTCTCTCCACCGTCGAGTCGCCTCCTCTTCGTAGGCCTGGCGCCACTCCTCAGCACCCACGGCGGCCCGTGACCGCTCTGCCTCCAGGGCGGTGCACCGCGACCGGGCCACGGCCAGCTTCTCCCCGGCGTCGAGCGCCTCGGTCGCCCAAAGCTGCAGGTTGGTGCCCTTCTCGGCCAGCGCAGCCTCCATGCGGCGATGTCGGCACTCGGCTCCCAACACGCAGCAGGCCAACCAACCAGCGGCCAGCCAGCCGAGGTGAAGCAAGTCGAGGCCCAGCCCGCTGCTCCCAGCGCCCCCCACGGAGCTGGCCGCCGCGCGGCTTCGCTCAGCGACGGGGAAAACCGGATCCACCGGAGACGGGGCCTCGCCAGCGCCCGAACCGTTGCTCTGGGCTGCCGGCTGGCCGGACGGTGTCAATGAAGGTCGCTCCGAAGGATCCGGCGCGGCGGGGCTACCCGTAGGTTCGCCACCGCCCCTGCGCCCAGGCCTCTGCCTCAGGGGGGTCGTCGAAGTCGTCGTAGTCGTGGCCGTCGTAGTCCTGGTCACAGCCCGCCGTGCGGACGCCCCCGTCGTCGTAGTCGTAGTCGTCGTGGCACCAGCCGGGCGCACCCCAGGGGGCTTGGCCGGCGGCCCTCGCCCCTTCCCTGCCGCGGGCGCAGGCTTGGCGGGCGCGCCACGCCCCTCGCCATGCCCACCACCGCCCGCTCCGGGCGCAGGCTTGGCTGGCGCGCCGCGCCCCTCGCCATGCCCACCACCGCCCGCTCCGGGCGCAGGCTTGGCGGGCGCGCCGCGCCCCTGGCCATGCCCACCACCGCCCGCTCCGGGCGCAAGCTTGGCGGGCGCGCCGCGCCCCTTGCCATGCCCACCACCGCCCGCCGTCTGAAGATTCGGCCCGGGCTTGGGTAGCGCCGTCGGCGCGGGGGCCCCAACGCCCGCCGCGCGACCATAAGGCCACCAACCCATCGCCCCCTGGGCCGACCAAGTAACCATAACTGCCAAGTGCGCCATCAGGAAGCCCGCCGCCATGGCACCGCTCCGCCCCGCGCCAGCGACCCTGGGTCGCTAGCGCGAGGATGCCAGCAGTCCCCGGACTGCAGCACCGCGGTTGTGGCCGCCCCGCGGCCCCCCTGCCCACCCGAGTCCTGGCTCGAACTCGAGCCAACGACTACGGACCCAAAATGGCTATGGCAAAGCCCCCGCTACCCTACGCTTAACCTGCAGTCTACCAACATCACAGACTGTACAAATCGATAAACTAGAGCTGTGATGCACAAGGGATTGCGCCGCTGCATCAGTCAGCTGACAGCAAAAGCTTGCATCTAGCTCTTTCAGCGATGGGCAACCGATAGCCACTGCTTGTATGGCTGCGTCGGTCAGAGACTTCAGCCCACACAGCTCAAGGATTTCAATGTGCGGGCACTGCTGCGCAAGGGCACAGATGGCGGCGTCGGTCACTTTTGGCCTGGGCAGACGGTCTGTGCATGGCGAGGAACTCCAGATGATCAATGAACGCAACCGTAGACAACCCTGCGCAACTGCGAGGAAAGCCGCATCTGTCAGATTTGCGCATTCGTCCACATTCAATTCTTCGATTCGGGCGCACCTTTGCGCCACCGCTTGTATGGCAACATCACCAATGCCACTATCTTGGACGTCGAGGCTCTCCAGGAGAGGACAGGCGTGACTCACAATTTGCAGCACGCCATCATTGATGTCGTTGCCCCCAAGGTCTAGTCGCAACAATGGAGGGCAAGCTCGTGCAATTGCTTTGACAGCATAATGTAGGCTCCTTCCATCGAAGAGAGCGCTTTCCACTCTGAGCTCAGTCAGATTAGGGCAAGCCTTGGCTAGCAGCGCCAACTTCGCAGTTGTGGGAGCATGAATCTTACCGTCTTCTGAATCGCGATTGAAACTCAAGCTGCGCACTGTGCTCGAACTGTCTTTCATACTTCTGTCACAAGCAAAGCAAAGTTCATCCTCGTCCACGCCATTGACGGCGCCTACATCTGCACAATGAATTTCTATGAGCTCCCAGAGGGCAACCGATATCTGTTTTTTGTGAGCAGCGATTCCCTGTGCCAGCCGGCGCTCGCGACGCTGAGGTTCGGTAGTCGGATTTTTATTTGATGCGGGAGGCGCCCGAAGTACAACACATCTTTCAATAGCTCTTCCACCGCAGGCTCCTGCTGCCCGATGTCGTCCCACAACTTGGACCAGCACACGATGTCTCTGCTAACCTTGGGATAATAGCCGAGCTCTTTAGCTGCTTGTATAAGAGCCGCGCTTTTTGCGCGCAGTGCTGCGGGGTCTACTTCTGGAAGCAAATACTCAGGGTCACTGGCCTCCGCGACGAGCTGCTCGTCGTCAGCAGGCTGAGAAGCACCGCCAAGGGCCCGCAATTCATGCAACACGTCTTTGGGGATGCTGTCCCGGTGGACTGAGAAACGTTTAGCCCAATTGTTTTCGGCCCGCTCTTCTTCGGATGTCCTTTTGTTTTGCTTGGGTATCCGGCCGAGCTCCCGAATCGCACATTCACGACCTCTTGCACGGCGCGCGACTCTGAGGACGAAGCACCGTCAAGGGCCCGCAATTCCTGCAAAACGTCTTTGGGGCTGCTGTCGCAATGGTCCGAGAAACGTTCGGCCAACTTGTGTTCGGCCCGTTTTTGTTCGGACGTTCCTTTCTTTCGCTTCGGTATCCGGCCGAACTGCTTCACGTCCTCGACGAGCGTTTGCAGAGGACCGCTCAATGCAGCACGCTGAGGAGCACCGCTGTTCAATGCAGCAGGCTGAGGAGCACCGCTGTTCAATGCAGCAGGCTGAGGAGCACCGCTGTTCAATGCAGCAGGCTGAGGAGCACCGCCGCTTGACTGAGAACGACCAGCATGTCCTGGCATTAAGGTGTGCAGTAGGCGCTGCGCAGTTCCTTGGTAATCTTCGAAAGCAGGGCTCTAGCCAAGAAGGCTACGGGGAGGATGATGATGATGATGATGATGATGATGATGATGATGATAATGAATGAGGATAGTAGCAGCAGCAGCACCAGTAGCAGCAGCAGTTGCGTGTGTCTGTGACTGGTTGTACAGGGAGCCGTAGAGGGGGCCGTACAGGGAGCCGCAAAGGGAGCCAGTCACAGGCACAAGGCACAGGCGGCCAGTCACGTATATGTATATGTGTACGTGCATGTACATGTATATGTATATGTGTTCAGTCTGCCTTCAGCCTCGGCCTCAGCCTCAGCCTGCCTCAGCCTCAGCCTGCATCAGCCTCAGCCTCAGCCTCAGCCTGCCTCAGCATCAGCCTGCCTCAGCCTCTGCCTCAGCCTGCCTCAGCCTCAGCCTCAGCCTCAGCCTCAGCCTGCCTCAGCCTCAGCCTAGCCTCAGCCTCAGCCTCAGCCTCAGCCTCAGCCTGCCTCAGCATCAGCCTGCCTCAGCCTCAGCCTCAGCCTGCCTCAGCCTCAGCCTCAGCCTGCAGCCTCAGCCTCTGCCTTCAGCCTCGGCCTCAGCCTCAGCCTGCTCAGCATCACCTGCCTCAGCCTCAGCCTCGCTCAGCGCCTCAGCCTCAGCCTGCCTGCCTTCCTCAGCCTCAGCAGCCATCATCCTCAGCATTCTCAGCACATCAGCATTCAGATGTGCCCGGAATACATTCTGGGAACTCGAAGAGCACGAAGTGGCTTACAGTTGGCTCCGGGCATTCAAAATGTGGCCCGGGAATGCAATTCTGGCAACTCGAAGAGCACGAAGTGGCCTACAGTTGGCTCCAGGCATTCAAAATGTGGCCCGGGAATGCAGTTCTGGGAACTCGAAAAGCACGAAGTGGCCTACAGTTGGCTCCGGGCATTCAAAATGTGGCCCTGGAATGGAGTTCTGGGAACTCGAAGAGCACGAAATGGCCTACAGTTGGCTCGGGGCATTCAAAATGTGGCCCGAGAATAGAGTTCTGGGAACTCGAAGAGCACGAAGTGGCCTACAGTTGGCTCTGGGCATTCAAAATGTGGCCCGGGAATAGAGTTCTGGGGACTCGAAGACCACGAAGTGTGTAACTGTTTGCTTAAAACGAGCCCGGCCCTCGTCGGGTTCCGCCCGATCGGTTGCTCCCCGGATCCTGCCCAGACCCCCCCCTGGGGAGTCGAGATGCTCTCTTTTGACCCCACTAGAAACCTATCAGTCTTCGCTGTTAGGTAAAAATGGGGGCAATGATGCAATAGTCCCGACGCTACGGCCATGCCCATGGGGACGCATTGTCTGAGCCCGCACGTGTCCTTAAGCGTGCGGTTTCTCCGTGCTTGAGGGGCCCACACGAGTTGCATGTGATATACCGCGTTTCGACATAGCTCATTTCTCGTGCCTATTATCCGCCTCTTGTCTCTGCCTTTTCCCACACTCTCACACGAAGGATGGTGCCGCAGGTGGCGGCTCGGCGTTCCATATGTGCCGTCCCACCATCGGCCAGAGAAGGCCATCCTTCCAGCGGTGCCCGCTGGCTGGCGATTTGTTCGCAGCCGAGAGCCAGATCAGAGAAGCAGGTGGATCTCCAGGCTACTTCATGGCTCGTAATGGTTTTGTAATATCGTGTGGCCCCTCTGGAAGGTGGCTACAGAGGGCCAGCCCTCGAGGCGACATCCGCGCGCGCCCGTGGCAGGCCCAAAGGCGCCAGCCCGTGTCGCGCGGGCGCGAAACTATGACTCAGCTTCGGCCACGAACGGCCCGCGCGGCCTCGCACGGCTGGCACTTCGATAATGCCAGCGTCAACACACCGCAACCCAAGCTGCACGTTGTAGCTCCTATGGCCTGACGGCCAGGAAGGCGGGATAAGTGATCGATGTAACAACTCTCAGCACGTTTCCTCCTCCTCCCGCTCTTCCTCCTCCTCCTCCTCCTCCTCCTCCTCGCGCGGGGCGTCACACACTTGACACAATGAAAATGGCCAGCTTCCCAACAGATGGGAAGGGACTCCTCGATGCTACAGCGTCGCACCGAGGCCGGCACAGCCAAGGCAAGCCGGCGAGAACGTGTGGTGGAGGAGGAGGAAGAGGAGGAGGAGGAGGAGGAGGAGGAGGAGGAGGAGGAGGAGGAGAAGAAGGACCAGTGTAAACCGAAAAGCCATCAACGATGTTGGAATTAACCCTCCCTCCAAGCTCCCTCTTCATAGGCCCCCACAGCGGTTAATTCCCATTGAGGGAACTGCCTCGTTGGAAGACAACAGTTTGAATATCCTGAAACATACCACAAGTCTCGGGATTTCAACGCCACGGATCAATCCACATAACTGTTGCACTCGCATAATCCTGAATCTTTCCGAAACACCATTGCTGGCAAGTTGATCATAGGGAGCAGTGGAACTCCTGCACATGTTCAAAACGAATGTGTGACGCGCTACAGCGTAAAAAACATGTTGAAAACAACCCGCCCTCAATCCGTGAAACTTCTGCAACTTGTTAGAGCGAATGCGCGCCACGCTAAAAGCGAGAGCCACACTTTGAAAACGACCCGCACTCAATCCGCGAAATTCTTGCAATTGTTAAAACGAATGTGTAAGGCTCAAAGGCGAGAGCCACATTTTGAAAAAGAGCCGCCCTCAATCCGTGAAACTTCTGCAACTTGTTAGAGCGAATGCGCGCCACGCCAAAGCGAGAGCCACATTTTGAAAACGACCCGCCCTCAATCCGCGAAACTCTTGCAATTGTTTAAAACGAATGTGCGCGGAGCTAAGGCGAATGCCACATTTTGAAAACGACCGGCCCTCAACCCGTAAAACTCTTACAATGTTTCAGAACGAATGTGCGTCGCGCTAATGCGTTCTGAAAACCACCCGCCCTCCATCTGTCAAGCTGTTGCCAATTTCTGAGCTTCAGAATCACAAATTGTGAGGAAGTCTCGGGCGAAACGCCTGGCCCGCCCTAAAAACTGGCCTCGGGGTGCGACGATGTGCGACGGGGAGAAGCTATCTATAAGGAAAAAGAATGGAGGAGGAGGAGGAGGAGGAGGAGGCGGAGGAGGAGGACCCGTGTAAACCGAAGAAGCATCAACGATGTTGGAATAAACGAACTGCCTTTTTGGAAGACAACCGTTTGAAGACCCTGGCGCATACCAAAACATTGTTCTCGGGATTCCAACGCCACGGATCAGCATGACTGTTGCGTTTTGACGATCCTGAGTCGCGCCAGAAAGCAATTTTTGGGACTTCAACACAGCGGCTCATTTGAGGGAGTTTCTGTGGAACTACCGTCATCCTCACCCCCGGCGCGGGGAGCAGAGGAGCCCAGAGCGGCCTCCGGCACCGTTTCCGGACAGATCCGGTGGATCCGCCGACGAATCCCAAACCGGCGCCCTCGCTTGAGACATCCTCACAAAACCGGCCCCGGGGGCGGTGCCCAGAGGAGCCCAGAGCGGCCTCCGGCACCGTTTCCGGACAGATCCGGTGGATCCGGTGGATCCGGTGACCGACGAATCCCAAACCGGCGCCCTCGCTTGAGACATCCTCACAAAACCGGCCCCGGGGGCGGTGCCCAGAGGAGCCCAGAGCGGCCTCCGGCACCGTTTCCGGACAGATCTGGTGGATCCGGTGGATCCGGTGGATCCGCCGACGAATCCCAAACCGGCGCCCTCGCTTGAGACATCCTCACAAAACCGGCCCCGGGGGAGGTGCCCAGAGGAGCCCAGAGCGGCCTCCGGCACCGTTTCCAGACAGATCCGCTGGATCCGGTGGATCCGCCGACGAATCCCAAACCGGCGCCCTCGCTTGAGACATCCTCACAAAACCGGCCCCGGGGGAGGTGCCCAGAGGACCCAGACCAGACCCTCCTCCGCATCCCCCGTTTCCGGACAGATCCGGTGGATCCATCCCCGACGAATTCCCAAACCGGCGCCCTCGCTTGAGAACAATCCTCCACAAAAAGGGAGCCCAGAGCGGCCTCCGGCACCGTTTCCGGACAGATCCGCTGGATCCGCCGACGAATCCCAAACCGGCGCCCTCGCTTGAGACATCCTCACAAAACCGGCCCCGGGGGAGGTGCCCAGAGGAGCCCAGAGCGGCCTCCGGCACCGTTTCCGGACAGATCCAGTCGATCTGGTCCGGATCCGCCGACGAATCCCAAACCGGCGCCCTCGCTTGAGACATCCTCACAAAACCGGCCCCGGGGGAGGTGCCCAGAGGAGCCCAGAGCGGCCTCCGGCACCGTTTCCGGACAGATCCGGTGGATCCGCTGGATCCGACGAATCCCAAACCGGCGCCCTCGCTTGAGACATCCTCACAAAACCGGCCCCGGGGGAGGTGCCCAGAGGAGCCCAGAGCGGCCTCCGGCACCGTTTCCGGACAGATCCGGTGGATCCGCCGACGAATCCCAAACCGGCGCCCTCGCTTGAGACATCCTCACAAAACCGGCCCCGGGGGAGGTGCCCAGAGGAGCCCAGAGCGGCCTCCGGCACCGTTTCCGGACAGATCCGGTGGATCCGCCCGACGAATCCCAAACCGGCGCCCTCGCTTGAGACATCCTCACAAAACCGGCCCCGGGGGAGGTGCCCAGAGGAGCCCAGAGCGGCCTCCGGCACCGTTTCCGGACAGATCCGGTGGATCACGAAAAACCGGCGCCCTCGCTTGAGGGAGGTGCCCAGAGGAGCCCAGAGCGGCCTCCGCACCGTTTCCGGACAGATCCGGTGGATCCGCTGGATCCGATCCGACGAATCCCAAACCGGCGCCCTCGCTTGAGACATCCTCACAAAACCGGCCCCGGGGGAGGTGCCCAGAGGAGCCCAGAGCGGCCTCCGGCACCGTTTCCGGACAGATCCGCTGGATCCGGATCCGCCGACGAATCCCAAACCGGCGCCCTCGCTTGAGACATCCTCACAAAACCGGCCCCGGGGGAGGTGCCCAGAGGAGCCCAGAGCGGCCTCCGGCACCGTTTCCGGACATCCGCTGGATCCGCTGGATCCGGTGACGAATCCCAAACCGGCGCCCTCGCTTGAGACATCCTCACAAAACCGGCCCCGGGGGAGGTGCCCAGAGGAGCCCAGAGCGGCCTCCGGCACCGTTTCCGGACAGATCCGCTGGATCCGGTGGATCCGCCGACGAATCCCAAACCGGCCCCGGGGGAGGTGCCCATGGAGCCCAGAGCGGCCTCCGGCACCGTTTCCGGACAGATCCGCTGGATCCGGTGACGAATCCCAAACCGGCGCCCTCGCTTGAGACATCCTCACAAAACCGGCCCCGGGGGAGGTGCCCAGAGGAGCCCAGAGCGGCCTCCGGCACCGTTTCCGGACAGATCCGGACAGATCCGGTGGATCCGCGCCCCGGGGGAGGTGCCCAGAGGAGGAATGAGGAGGAGGAGGAGGAGGAGGAGGAGGAGGAGGAGAAGATGATGGAGCTGCGGGGTGGAGGAGGACAGACGGAGGCAAGAGAGGATGGAGGAGGAGGAGGAGGAGGAGGAGGAGGAGGAGGAGGAGGAGGAGGAACCTCATCCTCACCCTCGCCAACAAGCGCACGCACCTTCTTCTATATACAGAAACTCCCGATCAACCGCAGAGCGGCCGGCTAGTAATAACTGCTGCACCAGCATGATCCCGAATCCTTTCAGAACACCATGTTTGGCACGTTGATGATGGGAATCCGTGGAACTCTTACAATTTTATAAAACGAATGGGTGCCGCGCTACAGCGAGAACCACATTTTGAAAAAGAGCCGCTCTCAATCCGTGAAACTCTTCTGCAGATTCTTACATTAAATACGCGCCGCGCAAAGGCGAGAGCCACATTTTGAAAAGGAGCCGCCCTAAATCCGTGAAGCTCTTGCATTCTTACTATAAATATGCGCCGCGCTGCGGCGAGAACCACATTTTGAAAACGACCCGCCCTGAATCCGCGAAACTCTTGCAATAAAAAACAACCAATGTGGGTCGCGCTAAAGCGAGAGCCACATTTTGAAAACTACCTGCCCTCCATCTGCGAAGCTGTTGCCAATTTCTGAGCTTCAGAATCATAAATGGTGAGGAAGTCTCAGGCGAAACGCCCGGACCGCCTCAAAAATGGATTCGGGGTGCGACAGGGAGACCTTAGTTATAAGGAAACGCAAAGGAAGATGAGTTCCTCCTCGCTCAAACACTCCAACGGGCGGGACCGTAACGGACGTGTCGGGCGAGCCGGGCCCCAGCGGCCCCAGCGGGCGGGACGGCCTCATCATCAAGGCGGCCGGGCGAGCTCTCAAGCAGTCCAACCGCTGCGGCCAACATGACGACCACGAGAACGACGACGACGACGACGACGACGACGACGAACACACGGCAATGACGACCACGACGGCAAAGACTGACGACGACGATACGATGCAAGGCGACCAAGACGACGACCAGCACTCCGTCGCCGCAGCGCGGCCGAGGCGGTCCCGCACGCGCGTCCGAGCGACACCAGGGCGCGGAGTCGCGCGAACTGGCCCGCATGCAGGAGGGGAGGAAGAGAGGAGGAGGCGGCCGCGGGGGTGGCGAGGCGGGGGGGGAACGACGACCAACACAGGAAGGCAAAGGCTGACGACGACGAGCACGACGACAAACACGGCACCGACGATGCACGACAACGGCGACCAACGCAACGACGGCGAACTAGACCAGGACGACGACGACAATTGCAACGACGCAAACAACGACGAAGACGACCACCGCCACCACCACGACGGCGACGACGACCAACACCGCGGGAAAGTATATTACCCTTCTCGTCATCTGGCAACGCATAGGGCGGAAACAAGTAAATCCCACTCGACTCATCGTGCGGTAGCACAAAAAGAAAATCCGCCGACCCCTTTGTGGGTCTCTAGGCGCGTGAGATTTTTCCCCCCCTGACCCCCCCCCAAGAGACCCCAAACCGGGAATTTGACCCCCCCCGCCCCCGGACGACCCCGGACCGAACGCGCCATGGGGGGGGGCAGAAGACCCCAAAACAGGCCAAGAGGAGACTCGGACGCCTCCCAGACGGTCCAAGAGGGGCCGAAAAGATCGCCCCAAGACGCCCAAGATGGCCCCAAGACGGCCCCACAGGCCGCCAAATCGCCCCAAGAGGCCTCCAAGAGGGCCCCAAGAGGCCAAAATCATTGATTGTCATGTGTATTTCCTCAGATTTGTTGGTTCTCGCCCTTACGGCTTTCGAAAGCTCCAAGACCGCCCAAGAGGGCCCGAAGAACGCTCCAAGATGACCCAAAAGGACCCCAAGACGGCCCAAGAGCCGCCCAAGACAGCCCGCCCAAGAGGCTCCCAAAACGGGCCCAAGAGGGGGACCAGGAACTGAAAAATCTAGCCTTCCGCCCCAAGACGCTCCCAGGAGGCCCCAAGACGGCCCAAAGAGGCCCCAAGAGGCCCCCAAGACGCCCCAAGAGGCCCCCAAGAGGCCCACAAAAGGCCCGAGGAGGCCTGAAGAGGCCCCAAGACGGCCCCCAAGACGCTTCAAAACTGCCTCCCAGAGGCCCCCGAGAGGCCTGCAACATCCAAAAAGGCCCTTGAGCCGTCAAATATCGTCTTCGAACAGCCCAACAATCCAACCAGGCCCCGATACTCATTCCCGCAGGAATCAAGGGGTCGGCGGATGTAGCGTAAGCCTGTAGAATACTACTTCAATCGTCACTTGGAAACACCAGAAATGGGCGGCCTGGGGGGGAGGGATATTGAAGCGGGCGGGCTGGCGGTACATTGAATATAAACCTCGCTCGTGGATTACGGATAATGTCGTTGTCGTCGTCGTCGTCGTCGTCGTCGTCGTCGTCGTCGTCGTCGTCGTCGTCGTCGTCGTCGTCGTGGTCGTCGTGGTCGTCGTCGTCAGTAGCATCATCAGTTTCAGCGACATCGTCGTTGTCATTCTCGTCGTTAGCGCTAGCGTTGACGACGTCGCCGTCAGCATTCGTCATCAGCATCGTCAGCGTCATTGTCGTCAGCTTCATGGTCGTCGTCGTATTCGTCGTCGTCACGTCGTCGCCGTCGTCACCGTCGCCGTCGTTGCCGTCGCTGTTCGTCGCTTTCGAAGTCCGTGGTCGTCGTCGCCGTGCTTGTCGTCATCGCTCGGTCGGTCGGTCGGTCGGTCGGTCGGTCGGTCGGTCGGTCGGTCGGTCGGTCGGTCGGTCGGTCGGTCGGTCGGTCGGTCGGTAGTAGTAGTCGTCGTCGTCGTCGTCGTCGTCGTCGTCGTCGTCGTCGTCGTCGTCGTCGTCGTCGTCGTCGTCGTCTGCCATGTCGACGTCGCGGCTGTTGGGCGCGCGGGGGGAGGGTCTGACACTCCCCGACTGTTGGAGGAGGAGGAGAAGGAGGAGGAGGATGAGAAGGAGGAAGAGGAGGAGGAGGAGGAGGAGGAGAGGAGGGGGGGAGGCAAAAATCGCACCTTGGGCACCTCCTGCACGCCACTGGTCTGGGAGCGTGCCTGGAACCTGACGCGGCATCCAGCCGCCCGAAGTTCGATTGTCGCCGGCGCCAGCCGGCACCCAGTCTGTGCATTCGATCTGTCGAACAGAGGCGGCTGCATGGTCGACGTCTGCTCGGACAAAGGTATAGGTGGAGTAGGAAGAGGAAGGGGACACCAGAGACATCTCGTGTGATCCCGACCACTGGTCGACAAACAAGTTCTCCTCCGTTAAGTTAAGTCGCGCGTGCCAGTGATATGAAAGACAATTTCGTCTACGACCATGGCAGATACAGCGGTTTCTCGTCTGGCCAGAAGGACGTGTCCGCACTCGAACTCCAAAAACCTGTACCCATTCGAACAGAAGTCCGCCGATTTCATAGCGAAAGGCTTGTTGCCGAGGATGAACCGATCAGAAGACCCGCACGCATACAGCACAGGGACGTCAATGTTGCCAGTAGGACTCGCCTGCGGCAGCCCTTCATCAGGAATCCCACCATAGATGTCGGGTGTCGATAGAAGTGGCCCAGGCCCAAGGTGACCCCTTCTTTCCCAGCACCCCTCACGTGGCCCACAGGGCCAGGACCACCTCTAGTAACACCCGGAGATGGCGCGAAGGCACGCGCTGCCCTTGGCCCCAGCGCTCCAGAGCGCAGCGGCGGTCATCGACGGTGGCCTCGCCAGGACGCCAGCGTCGAAGGCGCCCGTGTACCACCACAGGGCCTTCTTGAACGCGGCCTCCGACAGGAATCCCATGGCCGGAGAAACAATAAACGGCATGAGCATAAGCTTTCGGAGCCCCGCGCGGGTTTCTTGGGTCTGCGCTGGACCCCCGCCTCCCTGGCGCGCGGAGCGCGCCGCCAAGGAGGTCCAGCGCCGATCCCAGAAACCTGCGCAGAGAGGCCCGAAAGCCTATGTGCATGCAATTTTTCTTCTTCTTCGGATGGCCAGGCCCATCGTCCAGAAGAGCAGCCCGGCCCGCAGGGGCGCCGGCGACGCCTCCCGCGTGAACACGGAGAAATACTGCGCCGCCATCTGCTGATCGGCGTCGGCGCCCTCGCCGAAGAGGCCCGCGGAGAAGGCTGAATGCTCGTTCTCGGGACCCGCCCGGCGCCACCCGCTCCACTCGTGCGCCGATGCTGCGCCGAACTCGAGTGGACCTCGCGTCGAACTCGAGTCGAACTGGAGGTGAGCTTTGGAGGCCTGGAAATTGGCACCAACACCAGCACAGGGGGTTGCCTCCACAGGGGGAGAATGATCCTCGATTTCGGTGTTGGTGGTAATAGTTCGGCCACCTTGGAAGCCAGAATGTTACCACCGTCACCGAGATCGGGGTCTTCTTCCCTCGGTGGAGGCACACCGCCGATGTTGGTGTTGGTGTCAACCTCTAGGCCTGCGAGAGCTACCTTCGAACTGGAGTCGAGCGGATCCCACGGGTGGGCCCCAGGAGAGGTCCCCGAACGAGCATCCAACGAAGGCGTCCGGGTGCGGCACGGCCAGCGCCGTGAGACTGACGAGCCTGTCACGGCCGCGCGGGGAGCCGGCGACGCGCCAGGCCAGCAGGGCGCCGTGGTCGTGGCCCACGACGTTCGAAGAAGAAACGACGGCACATACAGTCGGGGCGTTGACCTAAGGAACCCTAAAGAAGGAACGAGGCCCCTTTCTCCCATAAGTTGAACTTCGATTTCCCATGGGAAACCTCAGGAGATCCGAAGGTACACTGCAGAAAAAGCAAGGAACACCGAGCCCCTCCCCAACGAAAAGGGTTCCTTCTTCAGGGCCCCGACTGTACTAGGTCACCTAACCTCGTGCATCGCGCCCCGCGATGCGCGACGCGCGGTCATCTTCGCGCCTTCGCAGCGTCACCTTGGACAAGGGCAGTTCTCTGGCCCAGGCCGCGGCGCGCGAAGCGCGACACTCTTCGCGGCCCCGCGGGTGGCCTTGATGCACGTAAACTTTCGGAGGTCCGCGCGGATTGCTTGCATCAGCGCTGGGCCCCCCTGATGGCGCCTCTGGCGCCGCGCCTGGCGCGCTCCGCGCGCCAGGGAGGTCCAGCGCCGATCCAAGAAATTCGCGCGGAGCTCCGAAAGGTTATGCTCATGCCCTTTTTCCTCCTTCGAGAGGTGGAAGCGACCGAAGCCCACGGCGTCGGCCACCGCGAACACGTCGTCCCGCAGAACGTCGTAATGGTAGCTGGACGGCATGTCGGGCGCCGCGCCCGGGGAGTAGCCGCGCTGGGTCTAGGAAGCAACTCATGTGAAGTCGTCGTAAAAACGATTCTGGGATACTGAACCCGACTCAGAGGCCATTGAGCGGGATTAGGACAGATTGAGCCCCAAACTAAACCGGGTTAAGCGGGACCAAGCTGGGGAGTAAGCCGTAACAGCTGGAACTCTTTCGACTCAGGCCTATCTCGACCACAGACATGCCAGTTGAAGGTCGCTGGGGGGGCAGCGTTGTTTCCTGGGCCAGATCCCCATACGCTCGGCGGGCGCGCTTGATCGGTCCACAGCAAGCCTTGCCGCCGCCCTTCGCGAGAGGCTCTGACTTCAGGCCTGCTCTTGCCCACGATTGGGCTGCTCATGCTTGCTCTTGCCCGACGAAAGCATTGCCCTCTCCCCCGTCGCCTCAGAAACACAGATCGCGCTCGCTGCCCCTCAGCGAGCCTCAACATGCCAGCGCCGAAGCTGAATCAGACCTCCCAGGAGTGGCATCCTAGCTGGTTGTAGGAGAAGCTGCGGAGGCCCCTCACTGCCAGCCTGCGCTGCAGGGGGCCGAACATGTCGAACGACTCGGGGAAGCCGTGGAGCAGCAGCACGTCGCCCCCGCCGCCTTCCTGGCCGCAGAGGCGGCCACTGAACGTGAACCCGCTGGCCCGCACATCGACGGCCTCGATGGACGGCGACGAGCCCCCGCGGCATCGGCGGAAGCAAGAAGGAGGCTCCATTTGTAAGCCGACCCGTCAGCCGGCACTTAGGTTTAAGCGCCTCCAAGCTGGGTTGAGCCAAGATTGCTATGGACCACCGCAGGCGGACAGCTTCGCACATCTACCTTGGGAGCGGGTTCCACGGATCCCACGTGTGGGGGCCATCAGGCTGCGACGGCCAGCTATTTTGGCGAGCTGCACGTGTATGAGAAAGGTTCCTGCAGGTTGGCCACGACTTCTGACGTACTTCATGCTGTCCGCAGCCTCATCGCCATCCGGGTCAGAGGTGAAATCACGAACAAGCATCTGCTGCACCCTCAGCAAATCATTCCGCTGGCGCATCGGGCCAGAGGCACGTCGAATCCCCCAGGCAAACCGGCCGAGTAGTGCGGTTGACATGCTGTTGCTCTGCACGTGAATCCCATCAGCTCCTTGGGCGTAGGCGGCTTGAGGAGTTCTTGCCAGCCTCACTACTCCCTGGGTAGAGGATTGCAAAAAACCGAAGGATTGCAAAAAACCGAAGGATTGCAAAAAACCGATGTTTTTTGCAATCCTTCGGTTTTTTGCAATCCTTCGGTTTTTTGCAATCCTTCGGTTTTTTGCAATTATTCTCTCCCCCATGCCCTCTCCTCCCTGGGTCTGGAACCCTCCCCCGGCGAGGGTTTAGAGCGCTCGAGGTGGCCCAGGTTGACGCCAAGACGGCGTCGGAAAGCCCAAGATGACCTACAAGATGGCTCAAGATGTCCCCAGACGACTCATGGTAGTCCCCTACATTCCTCCAAGAGACTCCAGAACCACCCCAAGGCGGCTCCAAGTGGCAACGGAGCCTCTCGAGGACCCCCCTCCCTAGAAGCCCGAATCCTTCTCAAACCGTGTCCTCTCTCCTGCTTGTCTTCTCGAGTGTGCTCGCCGTTTCGCTTCCGATCGGCTCAGAAGGTCTCAGGACGACTCCAAGATGGCCCAAAGGCGCCGCCAGAATACGTCCACATCCACTGCCGCAGCGCCCTGCCCCAGGGGGAGGAGGAGGAGGAGGAGGAGGAGGAGGAGGAGGAGGAGGAGGAGGAGGAGGAGGAGGAGGAGGAGGAGGAGGAGGAGGAGGAGGAGGAGGAGGAGAGGAGGAGGAGGAGGAGGAGGAGGAGGTGGATATGGATATCTGCCTGCCCACGTGGTCGGGCAGATGTCCATGTCCGCCACTCCTGAGGAACCCAAGGCACGACTGCGACGCGGTGGATGTGGACAGATGCTGGCGGTGGACCAAGAGAGCCCCAAGAGGGGCTCAAGAGGGGCCCGAGAGGGGCCCAAGAGGGCCCCAGGACGGCCCCAAGAGTGCCCAATAGAGCCCCAGGAAGGCTCTGAGAGGCGACTTCGCGGGCTCACACAGAAGGGCTGACATCATCTTGGAATTGGGTAGTTATCAAGGAGGGGGTGATTGGCCTTCCCACTGAGCTTGCCCATCCCCTCCTCCCACTCCTTCCCCCCCACCTCCCACTCCTTCCCCCCTCCCTCCCTCCCTCCCTCTCTCCTCCTCTCCCTCCTCCTCCTCCTCCTCCTTCTCCTCCTCCTCCTCCTTCTCCTCCTCCTCCTCCTCCTCCTCCTCGTCCTCCTCCTCCTCGCCCCCCTTCCTCCTCCTCCTCCCCCTCCTCCTCATCCTCCGCCTCTTCCTCCAACTCGCACTCCGCCCGTTCAGACAGCACGTGCCCAAGACCCCCAGCGGATCCAAGAGGGCCCAAGTAAACTGCCAGGGGGGGGTCCCATGAAAGATTCGAGAAAGCATTTAGGGTAACTCCTGGGCCTGCTCAGGCTGATCCCTACCTTTGGTTTGACAGATGCTTCGTTTCTGGATGAGCATGTGAGGATGCGCGACTCGTCAATAATTGCCTGTCATGTGCGCTTCTGATGGAACATCGCACATAAAAGCGGGCAAGAACAGAACTTTTCTCCTGGTTGGAACATTCGCAGAATCAGAACCGTTCGCTCGCCTCGCACGACGAGTCACGCATCACGGTGACGGGAAAGCTGCCCAACATGGTCAAGACTATGTCCCCCCCTTCCCCCTGCTCCTCCACCTCCCCCCTGTAGGAAGGCACCAACTATACACCAACACCGATCCTGGCCAGGATCACCCTGGGCCCAGGATCGGTGTATACGCCCTCCTGCCTTGCGCAAGAAGGCATATACACCGATCCTGGGCCCAGGGTGATCCTGGCCAGGATTGGTGTTGGTGTATAGTTGGTGCCCTCCGACCCTGCTCCCCCCGCACCGACACCGTG